CCGTTATCACAAACTCAGGCTATATGGCTACCTAGCTCGCTTTCCTCAGGATGATCCTGCCTGGCAGTTTGTGTCTGTTCGAGACAATCCTGGGTATATGGCAATCTTGGGTGGAGGAGGCCTGCGGGATGACCTAGGAAGTCATGGCTTGGGCAGATCGACCAAACCTGTCGTGAAGGACTCGAGATAGGGCGAGTCCCTGCCTAGCGGCTTGCCATGGGGGATACTCGTAGGTGGAAACAAAGGGTAGATGCGGCTATGCGCACCCTTCGGCGTTAGCTCCCACAATGATGATATATATGTATGTAAATACAAATATATATATGTATATATATACATAGATATACACATATATGTGTGTGTGTGTGTGTGGAATTCATGATGAATAAATTGCAACAGGAACAACGAAGGGAAGACCAAGAAAACTCACGAATATGCCGAAGGCCTTTTCGCTAATAGCATAAGCGTGTGTTTTCTTGTTCTTTCCTTCATTGTTCCTGTTGTACTATATAGATAGATAGATGTATACATATTTATGCATATATATATATATATATATATATTATATATATATATATATATATATATATATATATATATATATATATATATATATATATATATATATATTATATATATATATATATATATATATATATATATATATATATATATATATATATATATATATATATATATATATATATATATATATATATATATAATATATATAATATATATATATATATATATATATATATATATATATATAGTATATATATATATATATATATATATATATATATATATATAATATATATATAATATATATATATATATATATATATATATATATATATATATATATGTATATATATATATTATATTATATATAAGGAAAACTCTGATCTTAAACCTCCGCTGCCTTGCGGCTATACCCATTCATGGGAAAGGCTTCGGGAGTCAACCCTGAGGAAAAATTCTGAGTCGGACTCCCTAAGTCAGTTCGAGGCTGCTTGCAGCAACGTTCTGGCAGCTCCTGCGACGACATTGGAACCATGCGTACTGGCTTTGCCTTTCCATTGGACAATTTCAATGATGTGGAAAGGGGTACCTACTATACGGGTAACAGTCTGTCCTCCATATCAATCTACCCAGGCTTTACGCTCTGGAGAGGTCACTCCAACGTTGCTGGCAGCATCGACACAACACGGGAAGCAGCAGTCTACCGGTTATAAGTAGCCTATAAGTAGCACGCTCGATTGGCGTAGAGCGTGTGCTCCAGGGTCTGCTTCTGTCGGTGGGAGAGGTCATCGCTCCTCACTGGGTAGCTACCGCCTGCCTCGAGCTGGGCAGTCCCCAGCCAGTGAGGTGCTGCCCCACCATGGTTCGCTAACCTCACGGGGTCCGTGGGGTTTAGGGTAAAAACCGACAAGCGAATCGACAACCTCGCACCAGGCAAAAGAAAAACACCCGCCCTAAAGTTGGGCACTTGGAATGTCAGAACCATGACACCAGGCTTTTCTGATGACCTACAGAACATCAGAGATGCACGCAAAACAGCAGTCATTGACAGAGAGCTAAGCAGACTGCAAATGGACATTGTTGCCCTCCAAGAAAGCAGGCTAGCAGGGAATGGATCAGTGAAAGAGAAGGATTTTACTATGCTCTGGCAAGGAAAACCCCCAGAAGACACTAGAGAACATGGATTGGGATTTGCACTCAGAAACAGCCTACTGGGGTCAGTCACACCTCCCACAGAGGGAACAGAGTGAATCTTGTCCTTTAAACTCCAGAGTTCAGTCGGTTCAGTCAGCCTAATCAGCATTCATGCGCCAACTCTGACATCTTCGGCAGAACTGAAGGACAAGTTCTATTACGACCTCAACGCCATCACCAGGAGTGTCCCAGATAAGCAGACACTGCTCATCGCAGGCGATTTCAATGCCAGAGTGGGAACTGACCACGACCCCTGGCCGACTTGTCTAGGCAAGTTTGGCACAGGAAAGATGAACGAGAATGGTCAACGCTTGTTAGAACTCTGCTATGTATTAACAACACGTTCTTTAACACAAAACCACAGCATCGAGTCTCCTGGAGACACCCTTGATCCAAGCACTGGCATCAGCTGGACCTGATTCTCACCAGACGTGCCAACCTGTCCAGCATCAAGCTCACCCGCACTTACCAGAGTGCTGACTGTGACAACGCCCACTCTTTGGCATGCAGCAAGGTGAAATTTCAGTCAAGGAGACTGCACCACTCAGAGAAGGAGGACAGACCCCACATAGATGAAAGCAAGGCACGAGACCAAAGCAAAGTGGAGGAGTTCGCTTACAAGCTAGAAGAATCTTTTCCTGGACCACCCAGACCACCCAAACCAATGCCCAAGAACGATGGCAACACTTCAGAGATTCTGTCTATAATGCTGCAATGTCCACCTTTGGAAAGAAGACTAGTAAATCTGCAGACCGGTCCGAGGCCCACTCAGAGGAAATGACACCAGTCATAAAGGAGAAGAGGAGAGCCCTGACAGCGTACAAAGTATGTCCAAGTGAACGGAACCTACAGTTTCTCCGCACTGCTTGCAGTAAGGTCCAGCAGTAAGCCAGGCGGTGCACCAGTGACTACTGGACTCAGCTTTGCTCCCAGATCCAGACAGCAGCTGACACGGGCAACGTCAGAGCGATGTACGATGGCATGAAACAGGCACTGGGTCTGACACAAAAGAAAAGCGCTCCCTTGAAGTCCACCACTGGTGAAGTCATTTAAGACCGGGCTAAATAGATGGAACGATGGGTAGAGCATTTCCCCTTGTATTCAAGGGAGAATGTGGTCACTGAAGATGCCCTAGATGCCATTGAATGCCTGCCAGAGTTGGAGGAGCTCGGCAGCGAGCCTACCATAGAAGAACTGAGTAAAGCACTGGACTCCCTCTCTGTTGGCAAAGCACCTGGAAACGATGGCATTCCTGTAGAAGTCCTGAAATGCTGCAAAAAGACCCTCATCAATGAACTGCATGAGATTTTATGTCTGTTGGCGAGAAGGTGAAGTGCCACAAGACATGAGGGATGCCAACATCATCACCCTGTACAAAAGCAAAGGTGAAAGAAGCGACTGTAACAACAATAGCGGCATTTCTCTTCTCAGCATCGCTGGAAAAGCTTTCGCCCAAGTGGTACTAAAGAGGCTGCAAGTAATTGCTGAGCGAATTTACCCAGAGTCACAGTGTGGTTTCCAAGCTAACAGATCCACCATAGACATGGTTTTCTCCCTCAGACAGCTACAGAAGTGTAGGGAGCAGAGGCAGCCACTTTACATAGCCTTCATCAACCTGACAAAGGCCTTCGACCTGGTTAGCAGGGACGGTCTCTTCAAGATCCTCCCTAAGATAGGATGCCCATCTAGGCTCCTCAGCATCATCAAATCCTTTAACGAAAACATGAAGGGCACTGTCATCTTCGACGGATCATCTGATGCCTTCAACATTAAGATTGGAGTGAAGCAGGGATGCGTCCTGGAACCCACCCTATTTGGAATCTTCGCAGTGCTACTGAAACACGCATTTGGATCCGCAACAGAGGGCATCTATCTCCGCACCAGGTCAGATGGAAAGCTCTTCAACCTCTCCAGACTAAGAGCCAAGACCAAGACCCAGCTGAAACACCTGCGCGATTTCTTATTTGCGGACGATGCAGCAGTTACGACTCGCTCAGCTGAAGACCTGCAGCAACTTATGAGTCGCTTCAACAACGCCTGCCACGACTTCGGGCTCGCCATCAGCCTGAAGAAAACCCAAGTCATGGCACAGGACATCGACATAGCCGCAGCTATCAGAATCTCGGAGCACGGGTTGGAGGATATCCATGACTTTTTGTACTTAGGGTCAACAATCTCAGACTCCCTCTCTCTCGACTTTGAGATCAATAAGTGCATCAGCAAGGCAACTACCACTATGTCCAGACTAACTAAAAGGGCCTGGAATAACATCAAGTTAACAGAGCACACAAAGATACTGATCTACAGTGCTTGCGTTATGAGCAACCTTTTGTACGGCAGTGAGTCTTGGACTCTGAGAGCAAGACAAGAACAAAAGCTCAATGCCTTCCACATGCGATGTCTCCGTTGTATACTGAACATTACATGGCAAGACAAGGTTACCAACAATACAGTCCTGGAGAGAGCCCAGACCACGAGTATGCACACATTGCTCAAATAGAGACGCCTGTACTGGCTTGGCCATGTCGTGTGTATGGAGGATGGACGGATCCCAAAAGATCTACTGTATGGAGAACTTGTTCAGGGAAAGCGCCCTAAAGGCAGACCGCAGCTGCGTCACAAAGACGTCTGCAAGAGGGACCTGAAAGCCCTAAACATAGACTTGAACACCTGGGAACAGTCAGCCTCAGACCGATTTGCCTGGAGGTCTGCAGTGAAAAAAGGCTTCTGCACAGGTGGCCAGACAAGCGACAGACTTTGTATGTGACAGCTGTGGTAGTGACTGTCACTCAAGAATCGGCCTGGTCAGTGACTCAGACGCTGCTCTAGAACCAACAACCAGATCTGAGCGCAACTCCATAGTTTTCCGAGACTGAAGGATGCCAATATATATATATATATGTATATATATATGTGTGTGTGTGTGTGTGTGTATACATATATATATATATATATATATATATATATATATATATATATATATATATATATATATATATATATATATATATACATGTATAAATACACACACACACACATTCATATATGTACATATATACATATACACATGCATATATATACATACATGTATATATGTATGTATGCATGTTCACCTGGCAAGAATCTGTTATATCACAAATTAGAAAACAGATATAAGATTGAATGAATGTACAGATGAATAAACATAATGAAGGGAATTTTACCGTATACCTGCAGCCACCAACACACGCTTATGGTAAAAAAATGATGGTAAAAATAGTTATGATAATAATAACGATAATGATAGTAAAATAACAATAACTGTAAACACAGTAATGATAATGTTACTAATGATAGCAACAACAATAGCAAAAATTATAACAATGAAATAATGATGATAGTAATAAGTCAATAAATAAAGAAAAAATATAATCAAAACAGGCCTCTTTATAATGCTGTCCAACACTGCGCATTCATATATATATATATATATATATATATATATATATATATATATATATATATATATATATATATATATATATATATATATGTATGTATATGTATGTGTATATATATAGATAGATAGAGAGATATACATGTATATATACGTACATATTTACATACATACATACATACATATTATATATATATATATATATATATATATATATATATATTATATATATATATATATATATATATATGCATATATATAACATACACACACACACATATAAATACATACATATATACAATATATATATATATATATTATATATATATATATATAATATATATATATATATATATATATATATTTATATATATATATATATATATATATATATATATATGTATTATATATAATATATATATATATATATATATATAATATATATATATATATATATATATATATATATATATATATATATACATATATATATATATATATATATATATATATATATATATATATATATATATATATATATATATATATATATATATATATATATATATATATATATATATATATTATATATATAATATATATATAATATATATATATATATATATATATATATATATATATATATATATATATATATATATATATATATATTATATATATATATATATATATATATATATATATATATATATATATATAATATATATATATATATATATATATATACATATATATATATATATATATATATTATATATATATATATATATATATATATATATATATATATGTATATATATGTATATATATATATATTATATATATATATATATATATATATATATACATATATATATATATGCTCTGATATATACGATTATGAACAACTTTTGGCTCAAACTTTGTTGTTGACTTGAAAATTTACAACTAATAAATGTATGTATGCATGGTTGTCTGTTTATGTATGAATATTGGACGATTCATCAGCACTTATTTGCCGTTTGTTTGTTATATTTTGGACATGAATACGAGAAACGGGTCGACAAATTCTGACACCTATCTTAATTCCTTCACTTCCATAATTCAAGTAGACGAATACAGTTCAGATTATCTTTCCACATAAACGAAGCCTAAATCACATTGTTAAGGTGCTGTCACGCTAGCACTTTTTCCGTCAATTTTTTAACAATTTTATTTTACATAGATACAAACATTCTCTAATATAGCTCTTGATTTGAGTATGCATGGCTGAAAAAGTTGAGGGAAAGGTTTTCAGACGGAAACGATCATTATCGTCTGACTGGGAAATCGACAGTAGGCAAATTTTCCGGAAATTGTAAAAAAAAAAAGAAAAAAAAAACGGAAAAGTGCTAGTGCAACAGCACCTTTACTAGTTTTTATGTTGTTTTTATTGTTTTCGTGGAGTTTCTCCTTCCATCATTGGCTTTCACTACCTCGTGCTCTGAATTGATAGACTGCACACAGAACCGTGAGAGCGATGAGCAATGAAATCACACCGCAATATCTTAGTATACAGCACTATAGTACAGTAGACGCAGTAGGTAATGAAATGAAGTGAACTACCAAACCAATATAATTTCATACAACATAGTATTTTAACAACATGGCAATTCATTTTCAATCCCTGCAGCCCCTCCCCGCCCTCTGCGAGCAGCTCGGGACATTCATGCTATTCAGAAGCCTCCTGCAGTGACCACCGCCTAGCTTACCACTCAGTCAATTAGCCGATGACGTGGTTATTCGTGTTGGCAACAGAAAGCTTGCGTGTATATATAGCAAGGCGTCCTCTTATCGCAGGCTCCTACAGCCCACTTGACGTGTCTTGTGGAGAGTCGCCTCCCACCCCATTCCATATCTAACACCCCCCGCCCCAGACACCCCATTTCCACCCAGCCTAACCCCTCCTCTCAATGCCCACGCCCGCCGCCCTCTGTACATGTAAGGTATATATAGAATCCCCCAATCTACTTATTGCCCGAAGACGCAGGTCCTCCCGCCAGTCTCCTTCCTCGGACACGAACATCCGCTTGTCCAGGTAATTTGTGTTCGCGAGGTAGAGTGATCAGCTGTTGTGACCTGAGGCGATGTTGAAAATTATTTCACTTGCAGTTGGTGACATTTGGAGTATACCGTGGGTTTCCTTACCACTGTAAATATTTAGTGGTGATGGTTGGACGGCATTGCAGGATATATTAGCACTGAGTGTCGGAAGACTGACCTGTCGAGGTTTATTTCTCCTGCAAGTTCAAAATTCCCATAAGACGACAATTGTATCAGGTTGCAATAAGCGGATAGACCTGGCT